AGCACCTGGCAGGCCGCCGGCAGAGCCAGCGCCCGACTGCCCGGTTCAGCGGACCAGTAGTCCGGTCCAGACCGGTTCAGACCAGCTGGACAGGTTCAGTCAGTATTTATCAGTTTCAGTCCCGGTTCTCAATTTTAGTATCATTTTCAGTAAAAATTCTGGGTTCAGTTCAGCTCAGTTAATTTATATCAGTTCAGTTTCGTACTTATCCGGTTTCAGTTATACCAATTAAATCCGAATATCATGTCATGTTCAGTAGAGCATCTTAACATAATTAATCAGTTAATTTATCAGTCTGAGCATAGTCAGTAGTAATTGTTTATATTATATTTCAGTTTGATCAGGCATTAGCACTACCATTCAGTTTCAGCAGTTCAGGTGGGGACTCAGACTAAGTACTACATTGATTATAATATCGCTACCATGTTTAGGTATGTATATTCAGTATCCGCTCGGAATGGTCGTCGTTCCATTCTGGGTTCTAGTGGCCTAATCTGCCCACTAGAGTGTGCACATGGTCCAATATTAGTTTGTGCCGGCAGATTTCGGTAATAGTTTGTGCCGACAGATGTTCAGTTATCAGTTACGTGACTTATGTCGCGAGATCAGACCGGTATTAGATATCAGTTTCAGTTTCAGTTCAGTTATATATGCCAAGATCATGATATTGTTATTATTTTCAATGTTTACATTAGTATGAGTTTCTGCGGAGCACAAGTGTTTTAGTGCTCACGCCCCCACGCATTTCATATTTTTCAGGTCGCAGGGTCGGGGACGAGGAGTGAGCTGGCGGGCAGTTCAGGATATTTTGTGGATATGTATATATGTGTTTTGCCACGCTTTTATTCCGCTAAACTTTCAGTACTTTTAATAAGTTTTTGATCCGACTTTAGTCGGTTAATATATTATAACCGTTTTATTATTCAGTTTAAAAATTTAACGGTTTTCAGAAAAGTCAAGTTTTTCACAGTAACATCCCGAATCAGTTTTCTCAAAATTAATATTTCATTTATTTATTCAAAAAAATTGCAAAAAACGCGTACTCTGATAGTATTAAAAAGTCGGGATGTAACACCCCAGACAAATATTATATTAATAGCTCGACTTATTTATCGGTATTAGTATTATTTTAATTATGCAGAGTATTATTAATATTAATTGCATAATTTAATTATTACTAAGCCCAAGTAGTGGTTAAAATCGAGCCCAATTGATTAGGCCCGATTTTAAACCCAATTCCTACAAAAACCCTAGTCTTCTCCCTACTCCTATAAATAGTATGCCTTCATGTTCCCCAACACCCAACACAAAAACCCTAGCCCCCAAGACACTATTCATTGTCTTCCCCACATTTTTTTTTTAGATCCAATCATTTTGTCTTAGCTTGTTCAAGGATCTAGCTCTTAAAATCAAAAACCCCTTAGCTCAAAATTTACTTCCTCACAGCAGTAAAAATTAATAAAAAAAAGGGGAAAAATCGGGAGAACAGACCACCATTTTCGCAGCACCATTTTCACCGGCAAGAACCAGAGCGAGCCCGCAGTCCTAGCTCAACCCAAACCGAGCCCCGCCTTCCTCAGCTCACCGCCTGCACGTTGTTTTTCCGGCGACCAGACCAAGCTCCTCCACACGGCCGCATCCCGTCGAGTAGATCTCCTCCACGCGAACCAGCATCTCCGGCGAGACCTTCTCGGCGAGCTCCCCACGGCGAGAACAGCAGCTCAAACCCGCAGCTACACACACGCAGCTTCCGTTTTCCGGCGACTTTCCGCGCCTCAGTCCAAGCTCGCGCGACCTCAGAACCGAGCTCTCCAGCCCGAGCTGACCGCGATTGAGCCATCTCAGTTGGGACCTGAACCATTCTCGGTCGAGTTGCACCTGCTTCGCGAGGTTTGAGCCCGTTCGTGAGCCCACAGCCCGCAACTCCGTCGTCCAGCTCGCAACCTCCATTTTCCGGCGAGCCAAGCTCGGATCCGTGACGAGCAGCGCCAACACCTCGTGTCCGACCCGACTAGCAGTATTTTTGGATCAGTTTCAGCAACCCTCAGCTCCAAGATCCAGTCTCACAGCTCTATACTCGGTCCGATTTGCTTCTTGCCTCTTATTCTTACCGATCTATTTTCGGTCTTCCTGATCCGAGTCGTTTTGAGGTATATCGACTTAAACCCTACTCCATGAGCTTAATCGAGAATTTAGATGAATTATAAAATTTACGGGAAGCGATTTCGAGCATTATAGAATTTATGGTGATTTTTATCGGCTTAAATGGCATTAAATTCCGTAAATATTGGTTGCTGCCCGGAAAAATGCGAAACTAGCGTGATAAAATTCGTATAGCTGACTTGAGGCTTAGGTTTTAATTTCATAATTTTTGGTGCTCGTTTAGTATGTTAACTGGATTTTTGAATATGTAGTTGAAATGCCCGATTTATGAGAAAAATGATAAGACCTCGGAATTCGATGAAACTTGCACGAAAAATCCTATAAATGATGAATATGTCGTGGTTTAAATTTCATATTTTTTAGAGGTTTTTTGGCATGCCTATAAATTCGAGACTTTAGCTGCTTTGGGGAAAACCCTAGATGTTATTCGGTT